CGCTCATGTGTGAGTCAACCTTGAAGACGGTTGGCCACTTGGGACGGCCTGTATCGGCCGCCATTTATCGCACGTTCAAGCAGTCATGAGGAGTGAAGGTTGCAGCGTTGCCACATGTACTCGGAACGAGGCCACCACACACTGGCCTAGTTAGACAAACGAAAAATCCACAACTGTGATATTTCCTCGACATGATATCCATGAAAAATAAGACTTTGTCCGAAAACGTGAAGGACCGTGCTAGGTACCATAAGAATTTTAGTTGTTTTGAAGAGAAAGGAGAGGGCATCAAGGAGGAGTTGCCACGTACGTTAACAGCCTGCATACTGCACCGTTACTAACTGACACAATACAAAGGTGCCGAGACCCTAGGACCTTGCAGTTCTGACCAGTGGGAAGTGGCTCTAAGGCTGATGCTCGTCGCTTAGAGTAGATATGCATATTTGCTGCTTGACCTGAAATCTTGATCATGGGTGACTTCAAAGTACTGCTCATTGACTGGAGTTAGATGTACGCACGCTGTCTAGAATAAGCTTTTGATTAACGTTTATTGCATTTGGCACTCAGCGTGTCTAACTTCCCGGGAGGGTGTATGACGGGCACCAGTCCATCTGCTTGGACCTGGTGCTCACCAATTCACTGGAAAAAATGATTGAGTTCGACGTCTGTGTCCCTTAGGTCGAAGTTACCACGTCATAGCTCATTGGGATTGTTCAATCTTTTCGATGTCTGAACAGTTCCAGGACAGATGAAGAAAGTTATCAAAAAGAAATGAAATATCTCTTTCAAATATTCCGCAAAAATGGATACCCACGAAATTTCGTGCGTTGGTGCATGAAGCGACAAGAATCCAAGTTAAAAGGTATTTCAAATTATACAGCCACCCGGGTACCGAAAACATTTCCAAATGAACTCTCCTGTACGTGAAATTTGTCTCGGCTTGTCGAGGGACAACTAAAGAAACATCAGGTAAAATTCGCACACCTATCCACAACCACTTTACGCTCACAGCTTGAACACCCTAGGGAACGGTTTAGCTACATTAATAGAATAGGTGTTCTCTACAAGATCCCGTGCCCAGTTGTGAGGCAGTCTATTTTAGCCAAACTGGAAAATCTATCTCAATCCACATACATGAACATCAGTTAGCGGTCGAAAGACGAGACCATTTCTTCCAAGTGGCCGCGCACACACTAGAAACCGGTCATAAATTCGCATGGGAGAGCGCACGTTTAGTTGCCGCTTGCCCTATCAGAATTCCAGGAAACAATGCATTCATATGAGACATGTATCAAGCATATCGATTTACATACAACATACTTTTTGGAGCAATATCAACTTCTTTCTGATAAGCAGCACGGATTCCGCA